ACTTGTAATATTTGATAATTTTGTTATTTATAATATCCAACATCATAAATGAATTTGTTTATAAGAAAGTATTAAAATAGGATCCTAAAAAACCTAAATTGCAAATTAAATTTGTCATAGCTTTATAGGGAATTTTACAAATTTTTTGGTAATGTAAAATGGTTGACTAAATTGAATTGAAAATTATCATTTCATATTTCAATATTCCGAACAATTATGGGTAACAGCTCTATTTTCCTATATAAAACAACATCTTAGTGTCATAATTTTCACACTCTAAACCAATCTCCTAAAATATTTTTCTATTCATTTGTTCAATAGGTTGTTTGTCTTTTATCTCCATCATAGGTAAATACTTCAACACTCTATGTCATTAATTTTATCATTTGTCCATTGTTTTTTAGATAATGTAGGAAAATATACATCTATTTGATATCATGAATTTTACATTTGACCTAATGCAAGTAATATCGATGAAAATGTAAGCACAATTAATATTTTATCTTCAGTTCATTTATTTCAAAAGAATCCTTTTGATTATAATCCTGGTGCCAATTTAACAATAATGTCTATAATTTATGCATGAAATATTGATTCAAAAGTGCTCTTTATCATAGTGTAATGGATGGTTGGGTAGCATGGTGTGAAGAATGTACGGAGATATTGTTGGACATATGCTTGGAGATGAAAGAATTTGGATATTTGAAGCTTAATTGGGATAGAATTGAATAGTGAGTACTTTGATAGTAAAATGTGGAAAGCAATTCAATATCAAACTAGTAACAAATCATTGGAATGATTTGAGATGTTTTGGACAATTCAAATCTCAATGGAAAATACTCACAATGATGCCAAATATGGACACTAAACATCAATTGGCGATTATGGTTGCTGCATTCACACTTCACAATTTTATTCGATTACATGAGTTGGATATACCCATTGATAGTGGTATAGAAATCGAACCAAGAGCAGATTATGATTTGTTTAACGAGAATCGTAAGGCCTAATGAACGAAGTACAACTTAATATAGCGAAGGAAATTTGGAACTTCTTATGATGGAAATTATATTTGTAAACGTTTATGATTTGGAGCTTATAATGAAAATTTAATTATTATCGTTTATTGTTTGAACAATAATAATAATAATAATAATAATAATAATAATAATAATAATAATAATAATAATAATAATAATAATAATAATTTGTATTTAATTTGAAATTATCTGATCTGATCTGAACTTATTTTTTCTAATCTGATCTGATCTGAATTTATTTTTTCTGATTTGACCTGATCTGAACTTATTTTTCCTGATCTGATCTGATCTGAACTTATTTTTTTTATTTGATCTGAACTTATTTTTTCTGAAATAAGTAAAAATAAGGTGAACTAAACAAGGCCTAAAGGAGGGTATTAGGGACCATGGTAAACATTTCGACAATTTTTATTTTCGGGCGAAAAACAGTCAAAAAATTCCAAAATTGAAGGCTAATATCCACACTTTTTGAGAAATTTTTGAGGTTTCGGAGCCCGGTGTCGAAAAGCTTTGAGATTTTAGTGGATACATCTCGGGGTCATATAATACTGTTTTAAACCATAAATGATCATTATATGTTGTCATAAATGTTTGTGGTAGGCTTGAGTTAATGAAATCGGTGCAAGTTGTAAACCGGTAAATTGTCCATTTAAAGGCAAATTGGATGGTTACACCCAGCCAAATGAACTCCCGGAGGCTATTAGGAACCATGGTAAACATGTCGGCAATTTTTATTTACAAAAAAAAGGTCAATAAATTCCAAAATTGAAGGCTAATATCCACGCTTTTGAGAAATTTTAGAGGTTTCGAGACCCGGTGTCGAAAAGACTTTAAATTTTAGGGGATAAATCTCGGGGTCATAAAATGCCATTTGGAACCATATATAATCATTATATGTTGTCATAAATGTTCGTGGTAAGCTTGAGTTTATAAAATCCGTGCAATTTGTAAACCGGTAAATTGGTCGTTTAAAGGCAAATTTGATGGTTCCACTCACCCAATTGGACTCACGGGGGGTATTAGGGACCATGGTAAACATTTCGGCAATTTTTATTTCCAAACGAAAAAAAATTCCAAAATTAAAAGCTAATATTAGCGTTTTTTGAGAAATTTTGGAGGTTTCGTGGCCCGGTGTCGAAAATCCTTTCCATTTTAGGGGATATATCTCGGGATCATATAATGTTGTTCGGAAGCATATGTGAATATTATATGTTGACATAAATGTTCGTGGTAGGTTTGAGTTTATGAAATCGGTGCAAGTTGTAAACCGTTAAATTTTGGAGGTTTCAAGGCCCGGTGTCGAAAAGTTTTGAGATTTTAGGGGATACATCTCGGGGTCATATAATGTCGTTTGAAACCATATATAATCATTATATGTAGTCATAATTTTTTGTGGTAGGCTTGAATTAATGAAATCGGTGCAAGTTGTAAATCGGTAAATTGGCCGTTTAAAGGCAAATTGGATGGTTCCATCCACCCAATTGAACTCTCAGAGGGGTTTTAGGGACCATGGTAACATTTCGGCAATTTTTATTTTCGGGTGAAAAAAGGCAAAAAATTCCAAAATTGAGGCTACTATCCACACTTTTTGAGAAATTTTGAGGTTTCGGTGCCGTGTGTCGAAAAGTCTTGAAATTCTAGGGGATATATCTCGGAGTCATATAATGCCGTTTGGAACTATATATGATCATTATTTGTTGTCATAAATGTTCATGATAGGCTTGAGTTAATGAAATCGGTGTAATTTGTAAAGCGGTAAATTGGTTGTTTAAAATTGGACTTCCGGAGGGTAGTAGGGACCATGGTAAACATTTTGACAATTTTTATTTTCGGGAGAAAAAAAAAAGTAAAAAAATTCCAAAAAGGCTAATATCCACGCATTTTGAGAAATTCTGAATTTTCCAGGTTTTGTGTCCAAAAGAATTGAGATTTTAGAGGATACATCTCAGGGTCATATAATGTCGTTTGGAACCATATATGATCATTATATGTTGTCATAAATGTTCGCGGTAGGCTTGAGTTAATGAAATCATTGCAAGTTGGATGGTTTCTCTCACCCAATTGGATTTCCGGAGGGTATTAGGGACCATGGTAAACATTTCGGCAATTTTTATTTCCGGGTGAAAAAAAGTAAAAAAATTCCAAAATTAAAGGCCAATATCCACACTTTTGAGAAATTTTGGGCTGAGGTTTCGCCCTGACAATATATACATACATGTCATTTTAATGAGTCATTAGTTCATACTATTAATAAGGATTAAAAGGTTGAAGGCCGGCTGATTACAATGCATTTCAATTAGCTTGCTATAAAGTGGAGATCCAAAATGTAAAGTAGTAATTTTCAATATTATATTAGTTTATTTCTTTCTACAATACTTAAATGTTCAATTTATAGAGTGTGAGGGATAGCTCAAGTGGTTAGAGCTCCTTCTCCGATTCCAGGTGATACTGGGATCGAAACTCATCACCCGACCTTGTGGCTCTCCAAACACCAAAAAAAAATGTTCAATTTATAGTACTTTGTATAATTAAGATGACTTTAGTGTAATTAGTGGTTTGGTGAATTTTAGTTTATAATGATTCTTGACGCAAAGATAGTGAAGAAAAGGGAAAGTAAAAAAAGAGCTATATTTTGTGCGATTTTAGCATTCTAATGTGACTAATTTAACTATAATTGGTTGATAACATACACTAATTTATTAGTTGGGGATTTGGAGTAAATTATTGTGAAAAATTAACCTTAATAATAATTAAGCATATTATTGTTTTAAAATGCATCAAGTATTTGATGATCTAACTATGATCACTCATTTCAATACTTCTAGTTGTATTGGAGGAAGAAAATGCCATGTTCTCATCAGATTATTTTCAGTTCAGTTTAATTAAGCCTACTAAGGGCTTGTTCTCATTGACTGAACTCAGAACTGAACTGAACTGAATTGAGCTGAACTGAACTGAACTGAATATTTTATAAGAGAAGGAAATTAGGAGCTGAACTGAACTGGATATTTTATAAGAGAAGGAAATTATGAGCTAAACTGAGCTGAGCTGAACTGAACTGAAATGAAATGAATATTTTATAAGAGAAAGAAATTAGGAGTTGAACTGAACTGAAATGAATATTTTATAAGAGAAAGAAATTAGGAGCTGAACTGAACTGAAGTGAAGTGAACTGAGCTGAACTGAACTGAGCTGAGCTGAACTGAACTGAACTGAACTGAATTTCAACGTAAGAGAACAAGCCCTAAGTTCAGTTCAATTCAATTCAATTCAGCTCCTAATTTCCTTCCCTCATAAAATATTCATTTCAGCTCAACTTCATTTCAGTTCAATCAATGAGAACATGTCCTAAGTTTAAAGATTGAATTATTTGAATAGGCTCGAGTTAGATGAGGCGATTAACTCACTACTTACATCTTACGATTCTCTTAAAATTAAAATTTAATTCTCAAATTTACGAATATGTTTACGGTTATCTTTTTACACTAAAAAAAAATATTTAAGAGCTAACGACAAAGAGTAATCAAAGCTTATTAGGTTCAATAAAGTATAAGAACAGAGTACATAACATGAAAGCAAGATTAATCAACTCCATAGTATAAGATTAGGTTAAATATTTTTAAACTTTTTCAACAAAGTACTTCCACATAGTACTTCCTTTGTTTTTTTAGACTTGATATATTTGTCAAGGCGCAACTTTAATAGCTTAATATTTTGAATTTGCTTAATCTTTTCGTTCCTTTTTTATTGTTATGTTTTGACCATTTTTCTCTCATAAACAAATTTTAAATAAACAACAAATGAATAGTGTCGAATGTCAAAATGAAATAATACGAGTATCGGAAAACGAAAGACTTGTCCACATCAACTTAATTTCAATTCAGTTCAGCTCCTAATTTTCTTGTTTAGTTCAGCTCCTAATTTTCTTCTCTCATAAATATTCATTTAACCTCAGTTCATCTGCAATCAATCCAGTTTAGTTCAGCTCAGCTCATTTCAGTAAATATGAAATGGCCCGAGCCCTAATATGGCAGAATTTAGAACTAGATAAACATTAAATAAAGGAAAATCCCTAGAATATGCAAACAAAAAAAAAAAAAAATTGGAGCAAAAGATTAGATTAATAAGATAGGTTTCGTCTAGTCCAAAGTCCACTCAAATCTCCTGACCATTCTCACACATGCAATGTTACAACTTTTTTCCGTACCATAATTTTCCCATTTTCTCTCTCCTCTCTTTCACTCATTTTCTTCTTCTTCACTTTCTCTCTCTTCCCAATCTCTCACATTACATGCTATGATCCCTACTTCGACACGTCCTTCTCTCTTTTTTTTCATTTTTTGTTATGATTCTGATAATTAAATAAAATCCCAATTTCCCCCATTTTTCAGTTTTATAAATTTCACAACTTTTAATGTGACCAAATTCCTGCAAAATTCTCTGTTTTTTTTTTTTCATTTTTTTGACTACCCTTTTGTTAAATTTGTTTCCTTTTTAAAGTATATATTGCAATAATAATAATCTGATTACATTCTTTATTCTGGGTGTCAGATCAAGTAATCTATTTCATTAAAAGAAGAAGGAATTATTATGGTAAGTCCAATTATTTATTTTTAATTGCAACTTTGTTTAACTGTTTTTCTGCTTTTTTCTGCTGTACTTTCTGAATGTGGGTCTTTTTTATTTTGTTCTCAATTTTTTATAAATAAGATGTCACGCTTGTTGATCGGATATGATACAAAATTGAGTATTTTTGTTTAATTAATTAAATTTGGTAATGTTGAGTAACATTGATTCTAGTTGTTTTGAATTTTGGGTAGTTACTGATTAATCTTTCAAGCAAGTTTTAGTTATGGGGTTGATGTTTGATTTTGCTTTGGACAGTTTGGATAAGATCACATATTGTTTGCAAGTTGAGCTGTCAAAAACCGACCCAACACGAAAATCGACTGCCGTGTAGTGTACAGACGTTGATTTGGCAATTTGACGGATCATATTGCCAACTTGAGGAGGAGGGTTTAGTAAGAAATTGTGGGTTAGTGGAGAATTTTTGGGGTTTACCAAAGTTCTCTGATGTTGAAGTTGATGAATGTGTTGGAAATTTCAGTATTTGGGGTTTCTTCAATTTTAGTTTTTGAGTGATGGGGTGTGTTTATTCAAGATCTTGTATAGGCCAGGTGTGTATTCCTAGGGAAGCGCGAATTAAGCAGGTAAAAAATGTGAGGGGTTCAGAGATTGGTGTGTATTCTCCTGCTCATTCTGAAGGGGAGGATGATCAAATTCAGGAATTGAACCAATTGAGCTTTAGTAGGGATACTGAAGCTGGTATTAAGAGGCTTTCTAGAGTATCTGCTCAGTTTTTACCGCCTGATGGAGGAAAGACGGTCAAGGTTCCGTCTGAAAATTATGAGTTGAGGTACTCATTTTTATCTCAGAGGGGTTATTATCCTGATGCTCTTGATAAGGCTAACCAGGATAGCTTCTGCATACATACACCGTTTGGTACAGATCCGAATGATCATTTTTTTGGTGTGTTTGATGGGCATGGAGAATTTGGGGCTGAATGCTCGCAGTTTGTAAAGCGCAAGTTGTGTGAAAATTTGTTGAGGAGTAGCCGATTCCACGTTGATCCTGTTGAAGCATGTCATGCTGCTTTCTTAACAACTAATTCACAGTTGCATGCTGATAGTATAGATGATAGCATGAGTGGTACCACTGCTATTACAGTATTGGTTAGGGGTAGGACTATATATGTGGCCAATGCAGGTGATTCAAGAGCTGTTGTAGCTCAGAGGAGAGGAAAGGATTTAGTGGCTGTTGACCTTTCGATTGATCAAACTCCATTCCGTAATGATGAGCTTGAGCGAGTTAAGCTTAGTGGAGCAAGAGTTCTTACCCTTGATCAGATTGAAGGGTTGAAGAATCCAGATGTACAGTCTTGGGGCACTGAAGAGGATGATGATGGTGATCCTCCTAGATTATGGGTGCAGAATGGAATGTATCCTGGTACTGCTTTCACTAGAAGTCTTGGTGATTCAATTGCTGAAACAATTGGAGTGGTTGCCAATCCGGAGATAGTTGTCATGGAGCTTTCACCAGATTATCCCTTTTTTGTCCTTGCTAGTGATGGTGTCTTCGAATTTCTTTCAAGTCAAACTGTGGTTGATATGGTGAGTGATTTTTTTTTTTTTTTTTTTTCCATTTGTTATTATGGTTATGTTTTGTGTCATGGAAGAATTTTACACAGTACCATTTTATGATGGTTAACTTGGCAGTTTTATTTTAAAAAAGAATTCTCTTTTAGCTAATGTCAAATACTCAAATGAGATCTTTTGTAAATTGCTTTCTACTTGGCAGGTTTTGATATAAATTTTAATTTGTAGTGTTGGCATTTTAATTATGAATTATGAAAACTACGAGTACTTCCTTTGTTCTTTAATACTTGCACCATATGGACTTTTACACTACTATTATACATAAGCAAAATATTTTCATGCTCTTGTTAGACCCAGCTCAATACATACTATTATCAGCCTAATTTTTATTTTTTTTTTATATATATTAAAAGATAATTAAAGATATTTATGTTTAATGTTTTCTATTGTTAAGCACGAAACTCCAAATGTTGCAGTTAAAAAATAATTGAGGAAGTATATGGCACCAGCTCACTATTTTCATGTGTAATCTGCCGGAACTTGGAGTTATATTTGATGATCCTTTTCTTATTTTCTTATAAGAAATCATTAAGTGTAAACGGCTTGGAAACTTTGGCCCTTTTTAAAAAAACTGGATTGAACTGGTCTATCAAGGAGGGAGTAAAGTAGGAATTGCGTTATTATTATGTTGGCAATAGCTTGAAGAATAAGGAAGTTGGTTAGTTAGTTAGAGTAGATAGAGTGGGGAATAGAATCAGGAAAGACCAGCGAGAAAAAAATAAGGAGGGTTGAATATTATTTGAGAGTTTCTTTAGTTGAACTTTGCATAGAGTAATTGAGAGAACAAGCCTCACAAGTCACAAGTCAAATGATGTATCCAACCTATCTCATTTTATGGATATAGTGGCTTTTACAATAACCTCTCTCCGCATATGTATTACGGCATTGTCGTTTGATGTCATCTATGTATCTTTTCTTTGAAATTTCAATATCATGTTCATTTTTGATCTTTGCTCTGGAGACATCTTTTCTGCTTCGCTATTGCATAACGCAATGTGTTGTAGGTTAGGTCTGATATAAGAACTTTGAAGTGATGACTTTTATACCACTTTTCACCATGAGAGTTGTAATTTCTGTGTCTACCTTTCCGGCCTGCCAACTGTTCTGCTTATTCTTAGATGGGCAGTTTTCTGGTTATTGACTTATTGTAAAGTTTGCTTTCACTCCTCGAGTTCTTGAGTATACTTTTCATTTTGTCCATGACCACAACGTTTTATGCTTCTGAACAACTATCCCTAGTTTTTTTGCTGGCTTCTGATTTTACTTCCTTGACTTCCTTAATATGTTGCACTGGTTGCTGGACTGGTGGCAGATTTTCAGATATGGACTATTTATTTCTACTTTGATCCTTGTCTTAACTAACAAATTGACAATTATTATTTTGTTAGTTACTTTCAGGACTATATTCTAATGTCTATTTATCCGTCGTTGGATTTGACCTTTTGCTGTACAGGTAGCACTACATAAAGACCCTCGTGATGCTTGTGCCGCAATTGTTGCTGAATCATACCGCCTTTGGTTGCAATTTGAAACTCGTACTGATGATATAACTATAATAGTAGTTCATGTTAATGGGCTTAATGATGTAAGATTACTTTCATGTTGATGGATTTATTTTCTGTGCGATTAACTTATGGAAGGTCCTTGCTTATTTTGCTGTTTGTTACAATGTCTCTAGGTTTTTGGGGGTTCTGCAAGTCCTGGTTTCACTATGAATTCCTCTGCTCCTCAAGTGTTGGAGTTAACTGGATCCGAGTCCCCTGCAACTGTTAGCTGGAATTCTAGGAATCAACGCGTAAGGCATGATGTATCTCGAGCTCGTCTTCGTGCCATTGAAAGTTCCTTGGAGAATGGAAATGTTTGGGTGCCTTCGTCTCCATCCCACAGGAAGACTTGGGAAGAAGAGGTATTTTTGTAAATAATCGTGCTGATAAATGAAGCTTTTCTTGTGCTTTCTGGATTACTCTTCTTTTTGGAGTTATAATCTGGTCATATTTTTGTGTCAATGTTATAGGCACATATTGAGCGGGCATTACATGATCATTTCCTCTTCAGAAAGCTTACTGATTCTCAGTGCCAGGTCTTGTTGGATTGCATGCAAAGAGTTGAGGTTCAGGCTGGGGAAATCGTTGTCCAGCAGGTAAGCCACATTTTCTTACAGATAATCGGAGAGATTTTGGATCTATATGATTGGTTAAAAAGCCGTTGCATATAGATTAATTTTAATACAATCTGCTAGTGGAATATAGTAGTAATTGGTTTGTGTTAGATCTCTACGTATTCTATTCCTTAAGGAGTCTGGAACTATGGATAGCTCAGTTAGTGAGAAACTCAACTGATTATGGCCTTGACCCTGGATCAATTCCTTGTGTTGGGAGGGAGAAGGGGGGTGGGTTAGGGTATGTAAAACCAAACTTGAGAGAGGCATAGATGTGAATCTTACCGTTGGGAAATTTTTTTTACTCTCTTCAACCCTTAAATATATCTTTTTGGATGCCCAAAATACTTCTGAAGGTTCTAGCTGTAAATGCTACAGCATTTTAAAGATAACAAATTTAACAGAGATGGGTGAATAGTAGGAGACATGCAAATATTTTAACTGTCTGAATTTGGCATTTTTGAATTATGGAGGGACTGTGACCTAAACATATGATGCATGTTTGAGGCATATTTATATTTTGCAGGGTGGTGAAGGTGATTGCTTTTTTGTTGTTGGAAGTGGAGAGTTTGAAGTTTTCGCAACACAAGAGGAGAAACACGGTGAGGTACCAAGAGTTTTGCAGCGCTATACAGCTGAAAAGTTATCATGCTTTGGGGAGCTGGCATTAATGTGAGAATTTCTTCCTTTCCCATGAATACATCGTGCCATGCCAATGTAACTCGCTAACTTGTTGGATAAAATTAGTGATGTTCATCAGTGAGTGGTGCAGTGTTCTTGTAGGATAAGTTAGATGTAGGGTATGTGGATCATTAGCTGTTTGTTGGTTTCCTCGCCTGGATGGCTTACAACATTCTTAGATGATTGCAAAGGAAGAAAAGGAAATAGAAGAGAAAGGAAAAAGCTAGTGATTCTGTTTGGTTTAGTAAGTAGGAACTTGCAAGAATTCTTTGTTAGCCAGCTGATTATAAAGGAATTAGAGGACAGTGATAGCCTGATAGGAAATTAAGATGCTACCATCCAAATGTCGCCAAGATAGAAAGTGAAATGAAAATTTTATAGGGAAACTCTTCGCCAATTTCCTCACATTTCTCTGCAAATCATGCTGATATGCATAATGCATAAATAGTAAAGAAGCATGGTAAAGTGGTATTATTCCTTGTTATAGTTACAGGAGAAACTAAGATTAGCTTGAGGTTGTCTTCTTTGTGTTGCTATTCACTGTTGAAAGAAATATCTGGACGATGGTTCTATTTTCTGTCATTTGTTTGATTAATTTGGTGACATGCTGACATTAAACAGTTTGGCAAAACCACTTATTGTTGCTTCTGTTCTTCAGGAATAATAAACCACTACAGGCCTCTGTGCGTTGTGTGACTAGTGGAACTCTGTGGACTCTGAAAAGAGAAGATTTTAGAGGAATTCTCATGTCAGAGTTTTCGAATCTGTCATCTTTGAAACTTCTACGATCAGTGGATCTTCTTTCAAGATTAACAATCCTACAACTTAGTCAGATTGCAAGTTCTCTGTCAGAAGAATCTTTTTCTGATGGGCAGTCAATAGTTGAACAGGTATAACTTCTGTTGGTAAATTTCATTTCATTTTGTTAGGTTAGTAAGTTGTCTTACGTTCTTGTTCTCACACATCCTTGCAGCATGATTGTGTATCTGCATTGTACATAATCCAGAAGGGAAGAGTAAGGATAGAATTTGATGTTGACGTTTTGACAAGTCCGAATGTCTGCAGCCTGAAGTGTGATTGTTCAATCCAAAGTGATTTGAAACACGGTAACAGGAGAATGTTGGTAGAGAAATCCGAGGGAAGTTATTTTGGGGAGTGGGCACTTTTTGGTGAGCAAATTAGTCAATTAGCAGTATGTGCTGTTGGCGATGTCGTCTGTTCTGTTTTAACAAAAGACCAGTTCGATTTAGTTGCTGGTCCACTGACAAAAATTTCACTGGGTGATCAAAAGTATGTTTGCTACTTTTTGTACTTGGTACATATTATAGGATTTCCTGTGTTAATGATAACTGTGCAGCCAACAATTTTTAATCAAGGTTGTTTGATATGATTCAGGTCAAAGGAGATTCCTGTGGTCTTAGGCGAGGAATATGAAAGAAATGCTCGACCATTGGTCCCAAATAGAGTTCAGCTCTCTGATTTGGTGAGGATCATTAGATTCTGTTCCAGGCTTGGGTGCTTAATATCTCAAAAAAATCAATAATTTCTGTTCTAAACATGGGTGTTTCATCTCTAAACATGGATCTTTTGCCTTGTAGGAATGGAGAAGGTGCTTGTATTCAACTGACTGCAGTGAGATTGGACTTGTACTTCTGAAAGATTCAGGTGGGAGAAGCTTTTGATTGACTTCTGAGCCTTGTCTTTTACAATTTTCCTTTCTCTGGTTGTTTGTGGTGATTATCTTGCTTGAATATCACGTAAAAGTCTGTTTTTTGTTTCCATAACATCTTGTTTGTGAGTATTCTAAATGCTTTGGGGGGAACTTTTATTTTGTTTACTGGCCTTTATCTTTAGGCTGTTCCCTCACTCTGGAATTCACATCATGGCCATCTTTATAACTTATACTTGTATATACTATTATTGCTACAGTTATCTGCAATAGTAAATAACTTTTTATAACTTGGATCACTGCTGTTGTATCTACATAGTCATTTTTACCATAAGTTTTTGCTCATTTATTGGACTCTGCCATCCCAGTGGTGTTCTTTGTGATATCTGTCTATTTGTTGTCATTTCCTTGCTACGTAGTTTCTACATGAGCAATTTATGGTATTGTACTAAAAATAGATTATTGAAGTTTTTGGCGGCGTTAAGAACTTTAGAATGATTAATACTATGTACATTCTTACGTAACCCTATGTTGGTTTTGTTTGCAGAAAATTTCCTTAGCTTGAAAAGGTTTTTGAAGCAGAAGGTTAAAAGGCTTGGAAAGGAAGATCAGGTTCTAAAGGAGAAGAACCTGATGAAAAGTTTAAGTGATTCAGTATGTGTACCACATGTTATAGGCACCTGTGCTGATGAAACACATGTTGGAATACTACTGGATACATGCTTGGCTTGTCCTTTGGCTTCAATTTTAAATAAACCACTTGATGAATCATCCGCACGGTTCTGTGCTGCCTCTGTTGCAATAGCATTGGAAGAGCTCCACAAGGTCCATTAGCTAATTCGTGTGTGTGTGTGTGTGTGTGTGTGTGTGTGTGTTCGTAATTCATGAAGTTACTCTTGTCTTGTTTCTCTTGAGGAACTTTAGGATTCAGTTGTTGAATTTTCTTTGTATTCACATGCTTTTACAGAAGGGTATCCTATTCAGAGGAGTTTCTCCTGAAGTACTGATGTGCGATCAAGCTGGACGCCTACAGGTCAATTGCATAAAAATCCAAATTTTATGGTTTAGTACTTTAGTTTCAGCAATAGTGTTTGTTTGCTTCTCAAGATAGCTTAGAGTATATTATGATAAAGTATTTGTGTTTGTAGTTAGTAGATTTCAGATTTGGGAAGCAGCTATCTGGCGAAAGGACAAACACAATCTGTGGAATGGCAGATTCTCTATCTCCGGAGATAGTACTGGGAAAAGGCCATGGTTTCCCTGCTGACTGGTATTACTGATATGATGAACACTTTTTCTTTATTTTTTAAACATTTGGTTCTGCAGATCCGGACTTTGAAAGTTTTGTAGTATAACATTTTAATACTAATTCACTTCCTAAGATGAAGAAGATACAGAAGCATTTTCCTTTTCCCTTATTTTGAAGTGTATAAGAATTTCTCCACTTTCTCAATCCTCATCTATAATTTAACTGAAGCTATATGTTTCTCCTCTTCTTTTGTAGAGGCTTGGCCGTAAAATTTCTCTAGATAATTGCAGGGATATGTATTTTCCTGACCAATTATGAATCTTTCGATAATAAATTACGGAGTATAATTTTGTATACTCATTCTACTCAATTTATGGCCATAACATTACGCCTTGATTGTAACATGTATTTATTGAACATGTATTGTATTTTATTGGAACCTGTATACGCTATTTTCTTTCAATATTATGCTGATTGAAGAACTTTTGTTTCCTATCTCTATAATACGCTTTTAATACAGTTTTTCTGCAGGTGGGGTTTGGGAGTTTTGATCTATTTTATGCTGCAAGGGGAAATGCCTTTTGGATCATGGAGAGAGAATGAGCTTGATACAGTTGCGAGGATTGCAAAAGGGCATTTTAATTTCTCTCAGTCTTGCAGTTCTGAAGCCATCGATCTTATAACCAAGGTCCTTCATATTATACTCTCTTAATTGATCCCTCGAGCTACATTGGTTCAATTTTGTTTCTGTTTATCTGAACTACTCTTTTGATCTTTCAGCTACTTGAAGTTGATGAAACTAAGAGACTTGGAAACAATGGATCCGATTCTGTCAAAAATCATCAATGGTTTGAAGGAGTTGATTGGGAAGGGCTAGTAAATCGTACTGTCCCCGTCCCTCATGAAATTGTTTCTCGTATAAGTCACCATTTAGAGAGCTACGTTTGTGATACTTCCCCGCCACCATCTTCTCCCCGCCGGAATTTTGAAGAACTCAACACACCGGAGTGGCTTGAAGATTGGTAACCAATGCTCTACTCAAGGTGTGAACTTCACTCTATATTGTTGTTTGGATGATCGTATAGTAAAATTGCTAGGGGGAAGCTGCACTGATTCCACTGACTAAGGTCCAAAATCTTATCATTTCTTTCCCCCTTCCTTTTTTGTTCAGTACAAGAGGAATGATAGTGCCGAAATCATCCTCTTTTTTTGGATTTACCTTAGTACCTTAAAGCAGAGCTAGATGCCTGTAAATAAGTATAGTTTGTAAAGGAATGAGTTTTCACTTTCTCACGAATTCCTTTAGAGGTGAATTTAGCCTCCCACAGTAATTCAATGGTGGATGTAGGTAGATTTACTCGATCCCTTAAAAAAAGGGGGTAAATTTACTCGGATCCCTTCCAAAAAAAAAAAAATGGTTAGATTTACTCAGATTTATTTTTGTTTTGACAGTCCATTGAAATTGAAGGGATGTGTAATTATGTATATGTTTCTACCAAGTTGTGCCTTTCCTGCTGCTTGATTTAGACTGAAGTACCATGTTAAAATTTCTCATCTTTGTGTTCTTGGAGCAAACACTCTCTTTAGCCCTATATCTGCATTGTTTTTGTAGTCGTGATTGTATTTGATAATCTTTATCTGAACTTACTTGATCTTATTGGTTCTAGAGCTAAGATGGAAAGAACAAGTCCTTGAGGTATTTGAAAACTCGTAAAAATCCATGAGAATAAGCTCGTAAAACAGAAAAAATATGATCTTTATTCAGTCTAGGGGACGAGATTGATGCACAGGCCACCGTCTTTGAATATTTTGATAAAATATAATTTATGGCGCTTACCTTTATGCTTACCAAAGCCTAAAATAATAGCCATAAACATAGATATATTCAAAATTAGCAGTCTAATATACTCTAATAAGCATTATGAAATCTACCTTGTTGTCTTGTAATTAAAAAATGTATAGAATGAATTGTTTATACAACATAATTCATGGTGATGTGCCGTAAGACAAGTGTGAGAAGCAGTTGCAGATAGTTTGCAAAAACTAAGAAAAATGATGACTGAACAACTATTGAAGCAGTTGATATATGTGACGAAAATTCAGCAGGAGATGATCCTTTTTTTGTGGTCCAATTGCATGGTCCATGTTCCCATTTTTTTGTTCTGTTCACTTCCTGTTAAAATACTTTTGTTCTATTCACTTCGTTTTAAAATACTTGTTACGGCCGGAAACACTTGTCAAGTGTCAACGCATAAATGTGACTATATATACATGTAATTCTATATTAATGAGAATATATACTACAAAAAAAATAATTAATATTTGAAAATAAATCGACAATACTAATCTAATACGAGGAAAATACAAGTATTTCACTGTACATTTGATTTTTGTGTGTTACTGTTCAATAAAAAAATGGTCAAAATTAACATACTCAGAATCACCTGAAATCAGAAGGGGAACTTTAACCACTTGAAATATTACTCACTCTCAAGTTTTATGGTTGTAAGTAGTATGAATGGATAAATAAAATACAAGTAATATTTATTTTCATGACTTCGTAATGAAATACTGTATACAGCATATGTTGAGGAACACATTGATGCTGTTTTTTAGGATTTATGTTTTAAAAATTTATTGTTGTTCTCATTTTGCAAGACCTCATGGCCACCCTATGCTTTTTTGGGAGTATCAAACTATGAGAGAAGACAAATTGGGAAATTGATACTCTCTATTATTTAGGGAAAAAAAAAGGTAGGAAGAGTCGTTTTCCAAAAGAGGTAAAGTCACAAAATGAGGCCCCTGAAATTGATTCCATTAACACTTCAATTACTATAACTAATTAAGGTATTCTAAATTTTGAGGAGTTTGATTCTTTCTTCTTTTTATTTATTTATTTATTTATTTATTTTATTATTTTTTTTTTAACTTAATGTTTCTTTTGGCTAGAATTTTAAGTATGGAGGCTTTGATCTCATGATAGGCCTACATGTTTGTGGAAAAATAATTGCTCATGTTGTGTTATGCCTAACCAAAATATATAATGTTCTTCAAAAAAAAAACAAAAAAACAAAATATATAATGGACTAAAGAGACATTGGATCTAAGATAGTTAAAAGGTTGTAAGACTTGTAACTAGTTGTAACTAGAGCTGTTAATTCGGGTAAACGGATTGGGTTTGGGTCGGTAAGAGTGGGTCAGGTCAATTCAGATTAATTCCAAGACCTATGTAGGTCGGGTTTGGGTTGGATCATGCTTGAGTCGGGTCACGTCGAGTCATACTTCAATTCGGGTTTGGGTCAGGTTTAGGTCGAGTTAATGATAGGTCGGGTTACATTCGGGTCGGGTGATTTGTAGGTCGGGTTTAATTCGGGTTTTCACGGGTTAAAACGGGTTAGGGTAATTATCGGGTTCGAGATGGGTTCGGTTCAAGTCAATAATTTGCGGGTTAGAATCAGGTCTGGTCAGGTCATTCTCGGGTTTGAGTTGGGTTCGGTTCAAGTCAATAATTTGCAGATTATAATCAGGTCGGGTCATTTTCAAATCGGGTTCGGTTCAAGTCAATAATTTGCGGACTATAATCAGGTTGGTCATTTCCAAGTCGGATCATTCTCGGATTCAAGTCGGGTTATGTTCAAATCAATAATTTGACGGTTACAATCAGGCCGGGTCATTTCCAAGTCAGGTCATATTCGGGTTCAACTAACTAATAGATAATTATCATTTTTATCAAGCTAATTATTTCCTTTGACTACAATATATATGGAAATATACAAGGGAACTATAGTTTATAATTTAGGAAGATAATTAATTTCTTTTGACCATACAACAAATATATACTATATTTAACTCTTAAATTTGAGGATGATGCTCCTTTCTTTTGCTGGCCTGGACCGACTTGGTCTCCTTAGACAAAATGCTTTGATCAACAATCATAAGGTGGTCTAAATTGCATTTAACGTGTTTGAAATCGGGTTAGGAACAATTTGGGTTGAATTTAGGTCGCATCAATAACAAGTCGTGTTGATTTCGAGTCGGGTTAGTAACAGATCAGTCGAATATTTGGGTCGGTTAGTAATAGGTCTGGTAAAATTCGGTCGGATCAATAACAAGTCGGGTTGAATTTGGGTCAAGTCAATAACAAGTCTGGTTTGTTACAGGTTGGGTTAAATTCGGGTTGGGTTAGGAATGAGTCGGGTTGAATTAAGGTCAGGTTAGTATCAAGTTAGGTTAAATTCGGGTTTTGACGGTTAAAACGGATTTGGGTAAATTACGTTTCAAGTCGGGTTCGGTGCAAGTTAATTAAATAGCCCGTTGTAAACCGGTAAATCGGTGCAAGTTATAAATCGGTAAATTGGCAGTTTAAAAGCAAATTGAATGGTTCTACACACCCAATTGGATTCCCGGAGAGTATTAGGGACCATGGTAAATTTCGGCAATTTTTATTTTCGGGCGAAATGAAGTCAAAAAATTCCAAAATTAAAGGCTAATATCCACGTTTTTTAAGAAATTTTGGAGGTTTCGGGGCCAGAGTCGAAAAGTCTTGAAATTCTATGGGATACATCTCGGGGTCATATAATGTCGTTTGAAACCATATATGATCATTATTTGTTGTTATAAATGTTTGTGGTAGGCTTGAATTATATTAATGAAATCGGTGCAAGTTGTAAACCGGTAAATTGGTCGTTTAAAGGCAAATTGGATGGTTCCACCCACCCAATTAGACTCATGGAGGGTATTAGGGACCATGGTAGACATTTCGGCAATTTTTATTTCCGGGCGAAAAAAAGTCAAAAAATTCCAAAATTGAAGGCTAATATCCACACTTTTTGAGAAATTTTGGAGGTTTCGGGGCCAGAGTCGAAAAGTCTTGAAATTCAATGGGTTACATATCGGGGTCATATAATGTCGTTTGAAACCAGATATGATCATTATTTTTTGTCATAAATGTTCGTGGTAGGCTTGAATTATATTAATGAAATCGGTGCAAGTTGTAAACCGGTAAATTGGTCGTTTAAAGGCAAATTGGATGGTTCTAACCACCCTATTAGACTCCCGGAGGGTATTAGGGACCATGGACCCATGGTAAACATTTCGGCAATTTTTATTTACGAGCGAAAAAAATCAAGAAATTTCAAAATTGAAGGCTAATATCCAAGCTTTTTGAGAAATTTTGGAGGTTTCGAAGCCCGTTGTAGAAAAGTATTAATATTTTAAGGGATACATCTCTGGGTCATATAATGCCGTTTGGGACCATATATGATCATTATATGTTGTCGTAAATGTTTGTAGTAGGCTTGAGTTAATGAAATCCATGCAAGTTGTAAACCGGTAATTAAATTGGCTGTTTAAAGGCAAATTGGATGGTTCCACCAACCCAATAGGACTCCCGAAGGATATTAGGGACCATGATAAACATTTTGAAAATTTTTATTCACGGCAAGAAAGTAAAAAAATTCCAAAATTGAAGACTAATATCCGCGCTTTCTGAAAAACTTTGGAGGTTTCGGGGCCCAGTGTCAATAAGTCTTGAAATTTTAGGTGATACACCTCGGGGTCATATAATGATGTTTGGAACCATATATGACCATTATTTAATTTGATGTCATAAATATTCGTGGTAGCCTTGAGTTAATGAGATGGGTGCAAGTTGTAAACTGGTAAATTGGTCGTTTAAAGGCAAATTGGATGGTTTCACTCACCCAATGGGACTCCCGGACGGTATTAGGGACCATGGTAAACATTTCGGCCATTTTAATTTTCGGGCGAAAAAAGGTCAAAAATTTAAAATTAAAGGCTAATATCCACGCCTTTTGAGAAATTTTAGAGGATTCGGGCCTGATGTCGAAAAGTCTTGGAATTCTAGGGGATACATCTCGGGGTCATATAATGCCGATTGGAACTATATATGATCATTATTTGTTGTCATAAATGTTCGTGGTAAGCTTGAGTTAATGAAATTGGTGCAAGTTATAAACCGGTAAATAGGCCATTTAAATTTTAATTGGATGGTTCCACCTATCTAATTGGACTCCCGAAGGATATTAGGGACCATGGTAAACATTTCGGAAATTATTATTTTCGGGTGAAAAAAAGTCTAAAAATTCTAAAATTAAAGGCTAATATCCACACTTTTTGAGAAATTTTGGAGGTTTCGGGGCCCGGTATCGAAAAGCCTTGAGATTCTAGACACTACATCTCGGGGTCATATAATGTCGTTTGGAACCATATATGATCACAATTTGTTGTCATAAATGTTCGTGGTAGGCTTGAGTTAATGAAATCGGTGTAAGTTGTAAACTGATAAATTGGCCTTTTAAAAGCAAATTGGATGGTTCCACCTACCCAATTGGACTATCGGAGGGTATTAGGGAACATAGTAAACATTTCGACAATTTTTATTTTCTGGCGAAAAAAAGTCTAAAATTTCCAAAATTGAATGCATGTCCACGTTTTTTGAGTAATGTTGAAGGTTTCGGTGCACGATGTCGCAAAGTCTTAAGAATTTAGGGAATAAATTTGGGTGTCATATAATGCCGTTTGGAACCATATATGATCATTATATGTTGTCATAG